ATTACACCGTAGATCGTACGCTAATCATTCGTTCTATTGTGAGGTCATTCACAATGAGCACTATGAACTTATAAATAACCTGATATCGGTCTTTTGTGTAATCACTATGAGCATTCCTTATCAATGTTAGTGGTTCTTGTGCGTACGGGCGTGACAAGTTAGGCAGCTATATCATATTAACATCATGCCCAAACCAGATATTATGGACAGAGCATACTACAGTAGTGACCATTCGGTAGGATCTGAAGTGTAATCAAAACAAAACAAAGCAGAAATCATGTAATAAACTCTGTTACACACTTTGGGTAATCAAAATTTAGATCGGATAAATACTATTTTTCACTAGTCACTCAACCTTTTTAAACTTCATTACCATCATCATTATTATTTTATTGTCATTTGGCTTTATGCTGGCTGTTGTTGCTGTGTTGTATTTTAAATATCCTGGTAGTCAGTCATAGTGTCATACATTATAGTGGTATCCATCCATTATAGTAACTTGTATGAGTTTTTTTTTTTTTTTTTTTATTTCAATAAAGTATTTCAAAAAAAAAAAACTTGTTTCTGTTGGCGAGTACATCTATTGAATTCGAATTCAAAATCACATAAAAAATTCTTTTTGAAGAAAAATCTCTTTTTTTTTTCTTTTCTCTGTCGTTGCTGTTTTCACGCACATTCATATTTTACGCGCATCGTCAATAATTAACTTTTCGGGTTCAATCCGATGCATTAAACCTTTTATTAATCCCTGGTACGCATATTGCTGAAAAAGAGGCGCAGTTTTCTTTTTCTCCTGTACTTTTATTATTTTGAGTGATTGGATTAAGTACGGTACGGTGCATTTGCATTTTTAGGAACGTTGTCGATAACCAATTCACTACAACGAGACGCACAAACGAACGAGCGACCAGTGAATAAAAATCGTCTATCTTGATCTTTCTAACAATTTTTTGGTGTTTGAATTCTTTTTCAATGAATTCATCCGATAAAGTGGGTGGGTGAAATTATGATTCAACGTACGCCACATGATATCGTCCATATGTCCACTTTCTTGAGGCTTGTGTCTGACTGTAAAATTTGTTTATTCAATTCATTCTAGATGGCACCTACAAGAATTCATTAAGAACGAAACATTCTTCACACAAATTTTATTCAAGCTACCAACTATTTTATCCACTTGGTTATTCATTCATTCACTTATACAAAAGATTCGTCGCCAGAGAGTTCGGATATTCGAGGTCTATTCTTGAACCGACGAACTGATACTTAATACTACATTGATTTTCTTTCCACATAATATAATGGTTCGAAGAAAAATTTCCCTGTGGAGAAATTTTCGAAATTTTTGGATGTCGTGTTCATTAGTCGTATTCATATTATTACTGTGTTGGATAAATACCTCATCAGGGAGTAAGGACCATGATGTTTCTTCACTGGTGAAAAGAGGCGATTTGGACAATGGGAAAGGCAGTATGGGTGTAAATGTCGAGGGCAAAAAATTAAGGAAGAAGAGTTTAAAGTCGAACGAAGAGATAAACCGAAAAAGGGATTTCTATGATATGATGCCGTTTAGAGAGGCTGACGATTTTTCGCAAGGAGGAACTGATTCAAATCACAACACCCTGTTCAAACGTACTACAACGGTTGAATCGTCTTCCACCTGCGGAGCTCAATGCATAGTTCTCTTAGTGATTTGTTCGGTCTCGGTCCTTTCGCTCGCCTTTGGGATCTCGTATTTCGTTCTCCGTAGAAATTCGAAAAGTAAGATCAATCCTAATTCTAAAGGTAATAAACCAATCGACGGTGGGTCTCCCGATAACCATCCATTAATATTACCCGATACTGTCCCAGAATCATGGAGCATTGACATTCCTAACGAGATCATTAGGGAAAATTTTGCATTTGCCGAAAAATTCACAACGGAAAATCCACCTCAAGAAGAACTTCCACCGTTCGATATCATACCTAGCATCCAAGAATTAGGAGGTGCCAAAGCATGGGAATGGCTTCCTGTTGAATCTTCGGTGACCGAGCCAACAATCTCTATTAGCAATGAAGGAAAAGTAATTACTTTCAATAAACGTGCAGAATCGATGATTCAAACAAATTATCCATTTTTTATACCTTTAAAAGA